GTATACATGTATATACATAATGTATATGTATACATAAGTGTATATGTATACATGTATACATAAGTGTATATGTATACATATACATAAGTGTATATGTATATGTATACATAAGTGTATATGTATACATGTATACATGTATACATAAGTGTATATGTATACATGTATACATGTATACATAAGTGTATATGTATACATGTATACATGTATACATAAGTGTATATGTATACATGTATACATGTATATGTATACATGTATACCATGTATACATATATACTGTATATGTATATGTATACCTATGTAATGTATATGTATACATGTATACATAAGGTGTATACATGTGTACATAATGTACATGTATACATGTATACATGTATACATGTATATGTATAGTGTATACATACATATGTATACATAAGTGGTATATGTATACATGTATACATAAGTGTATATGTATATGTATATTAATATATATAATTTAGATGTGTATATGAAGTGTAAATCCATTAATAGAGGTTATGTAAGCAATTGGACCTACATACGCACGTGCATAAGACAACAAATAACGGTAAGAAAATGCTCCAACTACTCCATAACTTCTAATTAATTTGAATCAAAAAGTTTTGCTCGAAGGTAACTAAATAGAAGGTAAAAAATTCATATTTTTTCCCCGAACAATAATAGCAAAGAGGTAATTGAACCCTCGTTTGTATGTGAAGTATACACAAGTACATGAATTGGCAGTGGCTTGTGAATTGGTTTGCTTGAATGGTTTGTGTGTGTGTGTGTGTGTGTGTGTGTGTGTGTGTGTGTGTGTGTGTGTGTGTGTCTGCCGCGTGCTTTCCTCTCCAAGAAAGGTTGTGTAAGAGGTATGAATGAGAATGAAAGTTTTTAATCTGCCACAAACACGTATTTTCCGTCAGAAATACAATTCTGACGAAGGTCTATTAGGAAACGATTAAATACATCTATTGCGTTGTGAAGATAGTCATTCATACCTTTTGTATAAAACTGTCAGCATGAATTGAAGCTCCATTTTCCAAAGTAAACAGAATGAAAAGTTATAAAGGAAGGGTTTAAAGGCAGGGGGTGGGTGGGTGGGGCTACGTGCACGTAGAGTGGCAAGCGTAGTAATTTAGGGTACTTTCTAATCCCTCTTTCTCACTTTCCAACCTAACTTCAGCACCGACCTCAACGCGGCAAATGGATCTTGACGTCATCAGTCAACGCGGCAAAGATATCATACACACTCGGTCAACGCGGCAAAACGGTCTTATAATATCAGTCGACGTCCATCTCTGTTTAACATGTGTTCCTGTTCGGTTTATAAACTTGCAGAGACCTTGAGCTAGCTCTCTCCGCAACAGGGTTGGCCGTAGTGACTCGGAACTACTAGTGGCAATACTTTCAATAAATGTTCCTCCGAGACAAAGGGATTATAAAGGGTAAGGGTTTTAGCTCCAAAGGGATGGGAAAGGGACACCCTCGGGGACGGCGAAAAAGGGAAGGAGAAAGAAAAAGCGGTGAATCTGGTTGGCGGCAACCACGAAAGAAAACCGGTTATATTCGATGGATTTACAGACGGGTTAGTGAGGCCACCATCTTTGGAGTGAGGTTAACGCGGCATAAGCCTTTGGGAATTCAGATAACCGAAAGCAAACGTGCGAAGGAATTAACAGCGCCACTTTAATGGAGTGGACACGTGCGCCGGACCCCTTCAGGATGTAAACATGGCCGCCTGCCCGTCTGCTTTAGTTCGCACTTCCGTTTTCTCTTTTTATTCTTCCTTGTCCGTTTTCTTTTTGCCTTCTGCTTCCCCTGTTATTTCACGCTGTCTTTCATGAAAAAAGGGACTAAGTGAGGGAGGGAGCGTTCTTTGCCAGCTGTTAATAGATCACGTAATGTCGATCCTTCTCATGTAAAATATTTGTGCGTGCGGGCCAATAAACATCTTAACGGAAATACCTCCGTTTCTCTCAAACTTTAAAACGTTCCTCCGCTTATATGTCTCTATGTCGAAAACTAACGATTGCTGCAACCGTTAAGAATATAGTATGGAGGGAGGGAAAGTAATGCTGCATAGTCCTTTTTCGGAAGGTTAACCCCGTGATTCTTTGCGACCAAATTGATTGTTGGTAGTTTTGGGGTCGTTCCTAGTGGTGGTTGTTATAGTCCACCAAAAATGCGTTATTACAAGTGGAAGGGAATTTGTGGGTGTGAAGCCATTAATTTTTACCATATAATGGTGATTTTTTCTCTTCACTTCAGAGGCATTCAAAACTCAAGAGGCTTTTCTTTTCATATTTCAGATGATTTGATGATTTTCGTCGAGTCTGTTGGAGAAACCGCTTTCCTTAGGATATTTACGCTTTGTTTACGCTTTGTTTCTGCCTTGCTCTCACCGTCTCCCCCTCTCCCTTCCTCCCCTCCCCTTCTCTCCCTTCCTCCCTCCTATTCTCTCCCTTCCTCCTCCTATCTCCCTTCCTCCCCTTCTCTCCCTTCC